ACCCTAGATGCCCCTCAACTGAAAAATCGATAGAGAAAATGTGGTACATTTACACCATGGAGTCCTACTCAGCTGAAAAAAAAAAAAACAATGTAATCTTGAAATTTGCAGGAAAATGGTATCTAGAAGAAACCATTCTGAGTGAGGTAACCCAATCACAGAAAGACAAACATGATATGTACTCACTCATATGCAGATTTTAGACATAGAGTAAGGATTACCAGCCTACAATCCACACTACCAAAAGCTAATAAACAAGGAGGACCCTAAGAGAAATATACATGGTCCCCTGGAGAAGGGGAGAGGGTCAAGATCTGTTGAGCAAATTGGGAGCAAGGGAAGAGGGGGAGGAAGCGAGGAGAATGAGGAGGGGAGAAGAAGAGGGATGCAGAGGACATGAGTCAGCAGAAAGTTTGAGTCAGGGGAAGAATAGATGATAACAAGAATGCAGATACCATAATAGAGGGAGACATTTCTGGTTTGCAGAGTAATCAGGCACTAGGGAAATGTCTGGAGATCTACAAAGATGATACCAGCTAACAATCTGAGCAATGAAGGAGAGGCTACCTTAAGTGCCCTCCCCTGATTATGAGATTGATGACTGACTTATATGTCATCCTATAGACTTCATCCAGCAGCTGATAGAAGTAGAAACAGACACTCACAACTAATCACCGAACTGAACTGGAACCCAGATGCAGAGAAGGACCAGTGAAGAGCACAGGGGTCCAGACAAGGCTGGTTAAACCCACAGAAACAGCTGACCTGAACATCCAGGCACTCTTGCTTCCCAGACTGATAGCTGGAATACCAGCATGGGACTGATCCAGACCCCAGGAACATGGGTTTCTGTGAGGAAACCTCAGAAATCTATGGGCCCTCCTTAGATAAGTTCAGTACTTATGCATAGCATAGGTGTGGACTTTGGAAGCCCATTCTATGTGGAGGAATACTCCCTGAGCCAAGACACACGGGGATGGGCCTAGGCCCTATCCCAAAGGATACGATGACACCCTATGGAAGGCCTCACTATCCAGGGGGCGCAGAACGGATATGTGATAGATAGGGTTTTCGTTGGGGAGGGGGCGGTAGGGGAGGACGGGTGGGAGAAGGGAACTGGGATTGTCATGTAAAACAATCCTGTTTCTAATTCAAATAAAAAAAGTTGGAAAAAAAAGAGCTTCCAGAATGAATTCAATAAAACCTGGTGCTTAAAGAAAAGAAATCCCAGGGCAATGTGCTATTTTCAAGAGATTATGTTTTAAATCAAATGAGTATTTTGTTAAAAAGTTTTTCTTGTCTTCTCATGGTATGAAACAATAAAGAGGCAAATAAATGAAAAGATTAATTTACTACTTACTCAGGTTAATTACTATGCTACATACCTTTAGGATTTTTTTAACATATTCACACAAGTTTGAATAAAATTCTCTCTAAAGTAATATCCATAACAAACTCATGAAGCTTACCTTATTTAGAAACAGGGTTTGGTAGATATTATAAAGTTAAAATGATTTTATAATGGATTAAAATGAGTACTAAATCATAGAAAACAATTATTCTTCTCAAGAAGAATTCAAGTATGTAAATGTGGCAAGAGAGCTAGGTACACAGAAAGGTTATTTGTGTGGACATGTTACCAAGTATGGAAGAGAGGAGAGGAGAGTATTCCCCTAGCAATGTCCATGTCCAAGGAGACAATTTTGTTATGGCAACTATAGACAGTGAATACAGCAGAGATATTTTATTCATAAAAAGAATTAAAGATGAAACAATTTTGAGAGACAATATAGCATGTTTTAAACTTGATAGTCTTTTGCATAATAGAATGTATTTAGAGTGAAACAATTTTATGAGCCAATCTCATGCTCTCTGATCATGTTAGAACATCTAACCTCTTGATATAGAGGGAGCTAAATTTATCTATAAAGTTTCTTTCAATATACAATATGTGTTTGTGCATATACATACTTCAAGAGTGTGGCTTAGTATCTAATAAATAGGAAGAGTTAATTAGCATCATTGAAAGTTCAGAGTATAACAAGGCAAGTCAGCAAGAGAAATAACTTAAAATCATAAGGTTAAAATATATGGTATTTATTTAGGAAGGTTTTCCCTAGAGTGGCAAATTAGAATTAAAAATAAAATGTGATGTCTACCTAGAAATCATAAATTTATGGTAGCTGATTTGACAAATTAGATTCCTGGCCAATGTATAACTACTTTTACTGGATAATTAGTCAGAGGATGTATTTTATCTCTATAAGAAACAAACTTCGTGGAACGGGAAGAAGAAAGAATATATAGAAAGAAAATTTTCAACCAAAATTAAATGGGCAGGCACTCTAGGTAAGATCTGACTGTTATCAAAGGACAATGTTCACCATGTATTAAGTACTCAATATAAAGGTTGGACATTTAGTATTTCATGGACCTTATCCTTAAGAAGTATCCAGCTACTTAGGAAAAGCTATAGTCCTTGATAATTTCACTGTACAATTTAATCTAGGACACAAACATCAACAGATATTTTACTTTCTTATTAATAAGGATCTTGTCTACCATACCTTTTCATTTATAACACAATCTCTGTTATGGTGGTTGTGGAAGTAATCTGCAATAGTTATTGTAAAACAGAGGCATCACTGAAAGTGATGGGATACTGTATGCTCTTATCTCATGATTGGATAAACAGCATTCAACACTTCCCTTCTAACAATGTATGTTGTATTCTTGCTTTTGAAGTAAGAGGGAACAGACAGCTTTAAGCTACATCTATAACACTAACAAGTTTTTCTCAAAGTTTTCCTGCTAATGCAGGTTCTGGCTGTTTTCATATTTCTCCAGCCTGAGCTTCCTTTTCTGTCACCACCTGTCTCAGTTTGGGTTACTATGACTCTGATGAAACACAATAACCAGAGAAACTTGGGAAGGAAAGGATTTATGTGGCTTAGGCTTCCATATCACAGTGTGTCATTAGTGGAAGTCAGAAAAGGAATTCTATCAGGGCAGGTACTTTGAGACAGGAGCTGATGCAGAGGCCATGAATGACTGCTGCTTACTGGCTTGCTCTACATAATTTACTCAGTCTGATTTCTTATAGAATCCAGGATCACTAGCCCAAGGAGGCACCAGCCATAATACCTCATACCCTACCAATCACTAGTTAAGTAATGCCTGCAATCTTGACTATGTGATCTTTGGGTCTTATGGAAGTATTTTCTCATTTGGGGCTCCCTCATTTCTGATGACTCTAACTTGTGTCAAGTTGACACAAAAGTAGCCAGTACAGCACCCATGAACATAGCCTTGCCCTTGGAACTGTAGAAATTTAACAAAGCAAAGGAAATAACTTTTGTTTTTTGTAGTTGGTAACAAGATTACATTATGAGAAGCTTCCAGTGCATTCTTTGTGTTGATGTAAATCAGATCTGTTTTAGATGATATATAAAACAAGTGAAGTATAAATTGCACCATGTATATATTGGGTAATATTTAAAGCAGGTTAACATTTTCTCATCCTCAAATAATTGTTGGTGTTTAATGTAGAAAGTTTTCAGATTTATTTCTAAAGCTTTTTGCAAAGCATAGTTAATTATTGACTTCTATGATCACCCTACTGTCAAGAACACAGCAAATTTTCTTACTAACTACTAATAAGTATAATGTCATAACCATTAATTGATATTTCTCCATTCTTCCTGTATCCTCCATTTACCAGCCTCTGGTAGCTACCATTCTATTCTTGCTAGTATGAAATTAACTTTCTATCATTCCACTCATTAGCAGAATCATGTAATGATTGTTCTTTCATTCTGGCTTATATCAATTTGAACACACTCAGACTTATACATATTCTAAGCCCCATGTTTTTTAGGATGAGTATAATTGCATCACCCATGTCTATCAGATTTAAAAACATTTTATTATTATTTTTCTTGTAAATGGTGATATTTCATATGAGCATTTTCACATAGTTCATTGTGTGTTTTGAACATAGATATTTATCCTCTAACCTTCCATGTTACAGTACTCACCCCTCCTATTCCGCTTCCTTATCCTGGACATTCTCATTTTGGCTTCCAGGTTTCATGGACATATAAATTATTTTAATAATATATTCATGTCTCTATATGAGAAAACATATGTGGTATTTTTCTTTCGGAGTCTGCCATAGTTTGTTAATATGATTATCTCTATTTGAATCCACTCTATTAAAAAAACCAATATCATTCTTTATGACTGAAGGTAGCACCAATTAATTCATCCATACATCTGATGAAAGATAGCTATGTAGATCCCATAATTTGGCTGTAGTGAATAGTGCTTTTGTAAACACATATGTAAGTATCTCTTAAATATATTGACCTTTACTACTTAGTCATATATTCAGGATTAGCTTTCATGGTTTATATTGTATTTCTAATTTAATTTTTGAGAAATATCCAGTGTCTGGACACATTTAAGCCTTGCTGTCCAGGAATGTGTATTCATTTTTCTCTGAACTCCTTTCAAATTTGCTTTTATTTATTGGTTTGATGATAGTCATTCTGATACATTGAGATAAAGGCATAATTAACTTTTAATTAAGATTTCCTTGATAGCTAATGATGTTGAACATTATCCTTGTATTTACTGGTCACTTAGATTTCATCATTTGAGAAGTGTGTGTTCACTTCATTAGCCCAATTTATTGATTTAGTTTTTTGGTATTTAATTGTTTGAATATGTAACATATTTTAGGCTCTAATTGTCTACCAAATATACAATTGACAGACTTTCCCCCCATTATTTAGGCTGTCTCTTCCCTCAGTTATTTGTTCCCTTTGCTGTACAGAAAATACTTAATTTCCTCCTGTCCCAGTCAGAAACTACTGCCCTGTTTACCAGACATCTGTAATCTCTTATATAGTCATTGCATACATTTACACCCAGAGAGTTTTCCTTCTGTTTGCAGATATTCTGGTTTTTTATTCCATTTGAAATTTATTTCTTTACAGACTGAGAAGTAGATCCAGTTTCTTTCTTCCCTATGTGATGAATACCCAGTTTTCCTAGTACCATTTACTAAGGAAACTTGTCTCCAATGTAAGTTTTTCCCCGAATTCTTTTCTTTTTCTCTTTATTTGTGACATCTTTGTCAAAAAGCAATTGGCTATATACATTTATGTCTGAATATTCTGCTCTATTTGTTTATACTATTTATTTACACCTGTTTTATTATATTTCGTCAGTGCCATACTATGTTTGTCACTATATCTCTGTATTGCAATTTGTGGTTAAATAACATGATACCTCCAACTTTTATTCTATTGCCTTGATCATTATATTTGCTTTGGTAACATTATGTTTGATACTTATGTTTCATAGTACACTCTGAAATCAAGTAGAACAAATTTCCTCAGGATTTCTTTGACTATTAAAATCATTTGTGATTGCCTCCATATGTATTTTATAAATTCTTAAATTAATGAAATTGAATTTTTGATGAAGGAAATAAATTGTTACAGGGAGCATCCTTGCTTTTTTTAAATATTACAGTTTTGACATTTCCCATACATAGTACTAGTATATTTTACTATTATAAGTCATATTTCTTCTATACGTAATTGTCTTAGAATTGTCATCATGATACAATGATGAAGTTTTCCAAATTTCTACTACATATCTGTCGAGAAGTTTATATATAATTTTGTACTTCATTATACTTCATTATTATACTTCATTATTAGCATATGTTGCACCATTCTTGCATCCCTGCCATTTGATCATAGCAAATATTATTAATGTGATGACATACTTGGCTTATTAGCATTTTTAAGAATTTGTTCTTCAATATCCATTAAGAAAATTAGCTAATACTGTTTTCTTTATTTTGTGTTTTTTCCTTTGATATTATTTATCAGATTAGTGTTAACCTTATAAAATGCTCCTATAAACTATTCTCTTTCCTGTGTTTTGGAATAATCTAGGAAAACCTGTATTAGATATCAGTTAAAATTTGAAAAATCCCAGAGGGGATCCCGCTTTAACATGGCCTGATAGGAGTCTTTAGGCTATTAATTCAATATCATGATTGTTATTGGCCTATTAGTATTTATTTTCTCATGATTCTGTCTTGGCAAGCTGTTCAGGCATTTGTCTATTCCATTTAAGTTATCAAATTTGTTGGTGCATAGTTGCTCGTAACAGTCTCTAACAATCAAATGCATCTGGTGTCAGCTGTAAAATCCAAATTTCCACATCTTTGACATCCTCAAGTCACTTTCTGTCCTAAGCAAGGATCCCATTTGCAATTAATTCATTGTGGAAATGGAAAAATCATTTTTCTTCGATGGATGTCACCAGGTATATCAATCAATCCAGGGTAGGTCGCTATTCCCAGCAGTAGTTAGCCAATACAACACAGATTTTTTCTTTTTGTACCCTTTCTTTTTCTTTTTCTTTTAACCTGAATTCTTTAATTACCACTCATATTTACATATCCATCCCCCCATTTCCTCACCCTCCCATCCTCCCAAGTTCCCCACCAACCCCCCCCCAAACCATCTGCCAACTCTTGCCCAGGGAAGTTAGTTTCTTGTTTTTTGTTTCTTTTTATTTTTAATTTTTTCTTGTTGCTTTTAGTTTTATTTGTGAGAGAAAAATAACTTATGATTGGGTGCTCAGGAAAGTGAGAGGAGTTGGGGAGGGGAAAATAAAATCAAAACATATTGTGTGAAATTTATTTTTGTTTCATTTATTAAATTTATACAAAATATCATACAATATATTTAATTCATGTTTTCCCCTCTGATAATTCCTCCAATATTTCCCCCATCTTGCTATCCACTAATATTAATGTTCTTTTGTTCCCTCTCTCTGCTTAAAAATAATAAAGAAATAACCCCCCAAACACCCATTGTTAAAAAGCCACTCACAAAAGTGCAAACCAAAATATATGAACAAAATATCAAAATGTCCAAATAAGTAAAATGGGGCAAAAAGTTTACAGAAATATTATTGGGTTTGTTTGCATCATCCAACTCCATGTGGGCATGGGGCCTGACATGAATTTGTTTATATACTCACTGTTATTCCATTAGGAGTAAACTAATTTTATTTAACCAGGGGGAATCAATTATAGATACCTTCTAAAATTTATTGTTACAAAAACACTTACAAATTAAAATATTTTATATGCTACTTTCAACATTCTTTTCTTTTCTAACTGTGTACAAATAGATGATTCTTTATTTTACTTCTCTTTGGTGCATGCTCCTTTCTTCTAGTCAGACTTCCATTGCATTTTTATATCATATGCTTTTATTCTCAGGCATCTGCAGAAAATTTTAAATTGCCTCATTTTTTCTTTTGAGCTTGCTGTTGGTGTATTGACAAACTTCTCTTGACTGTCCTAATATTAGATAAGTTTCTTTGAAAGAGCTATTTTCAGTTTTACACCTAAGATTTCCTGTTTGCTCCATCTCTGGGATCTTATATTTACCATTAAGCCAGTTCATTATTTCCTGAAAGAATATGATGATTATTAGCTGCAGTGCCAACTTGCCAAGAGAAAGAACTTGTTGAAAACCCTTATTCAGGCTTTATTTATGTTTGTCTTTCCAGGATTTTTTTCTGGGTAATTATTCTAGTTTATTTTTAATGAATTTATTTTGTTTTTATTAGAAAGAAAATTATTTTACATGTCTATCCCAGGTCCCTCTCCCTCCCCTCCTCCCTTGCCTCCTCCAAATAACATCCTACCTATCCCATAACCTTTCTGCTCCCCAGGGATATACATGGCCCCCTGGAGAAGGGGAAAGGGACATGATCTCTTTCCAGAATTTTTATTCAGGCTATCTATGTTATTCTCAGGCTATTTTCGATTCAAATACTTCACCATTGCAAGCCTAAGGCAAGATTTCCTATTGTCTGATGTTAGTGTGTTGCCAATATTTTAATGCTAGATGCTGATTAAAACTCTATTTTGGTCCATATCCATGTTGGGGTATTATTCAATTGTATGGAAATAATTTATAATGCAGCCTATCCTCATAAAATTGCCCTGGGATTGTGGTAGCTTTAGAAAACTTGTCCACAAACAGAGATCAGGTTAATGTACTATTAAATTCTGCATGTTTCTAGAGAACATCAAAATGGATAATCCTACGTGATATCTGTGGCTACCAGTATTCAAATCTGTTTCACACCCTGAGATTAAAGCTAGCCAAATCCCTGACAACAATATGGAAGAACAAAAGTAAACATTTTCCTGTGCTGCCCACTACTATTGTGATGTTGTATGCAGTTTTCTTGGAGATTATTTATTTTCTTCCCTGTTAGAGAGCTCAATGGCAGACAAAGTGTTCCATGGGAAACTAGGTGGGGCCATGATGGGCCATTAAAGGAACATGGGTGAGAGGCTACTTACAGGAGTTTGGAGAACTTATGGGCAGCTCCATCAACAATGGAATGCTTCTCTTCCTTCCATAAGTTATTAGCTATTTATAAATCCTTAATGTCTGAAGAAGCATACTTTTACTTCAATGTATACAACTGTAGTGACTCCCAATTGCGATGGTCATGGGTAACTCCAAAGAAACAACTACACACCAGGGCACAAGGTATACACATCCATCTATGGGTGGTGCTATTTAGAATAGAACTTAGTAAATCTTGAACAAAAGTCCATTCCTGCCACCTGTGCTACTGCAGGTGTTCCAGCTGTAGGAAATTACAAGGTAGAGAACACAAGAAGCTGTCACATGGTAAGTTTCACTCACCTGGAGCAATGTTCAAGGACACAGTCACATGAATACTCCCTGTTTGTGCTATAGGACAATAAAATCTTACTGTATATTATTTCACATATAATTTAACATTTATTAGTGCAATTTCCTGTTTGCAAATTTAATAGGAAATTATTAAAATTTTTACTTTGAGGCTACATTGGCTGCCTTTAAATTTTCTCCAAAAAATTTCAAGTATTTAATTAACTTCATGTGTCCCTTAATTTGTCTTTAACTGTAATTTAGAATGATGATATCCATGATGACTAAATTGAGTGGATAGCACTTGAAATTTTTAGTCTAATTGAACTGTCTTAGTTACTCTTCTTTTACCATGACAAAACACTATGACCAAGACAACTTATAGAAAAGAAAGTGGTAAATTTGGGAGCATTCATGAAATTAGTCATCTAGGCAGGCATGACACTGAGGCAGTAGTTGAGAGCTTACCTCATATTCACAAGCAGAAGAATAATTGGGAACAAATACTCAAAAATATGATCTTTTGCATACATTCTCATTCCAACCACCATGAACTCTGTGTGTACTCCTTCTACTGACCTTATGACATTCTATAATATAAACCACTTACAAAAAAACATAGTGATGCAATAGATTTGGAATGTATTACTTAATATTCACGAAAATATACCATAATTTTTTATCCATTTTTCTGTTAAGGAACATCTAGGTAGTTCCCAATTTCTGGCAATTATAAATAAAGTTACAATGAACACAGCTAAGTAAATGTACTTGTGGTAGGATTAACAGTCTCTTGGGTGTGTGCCCAAGAATGGTATAGATGTGTCTTTTGGTGTCAATTCCAAATTTTCTGAAACACCACCATGTAAAGGCTATACAAGTTTGCGCCCTGAGCAACATTTGGACGAATGTTTCTGGCTTTCCCCATCCTCACCAGAATGAGAGAACCCTCATATTACTGATCTTAGCCATTCTGACAAGGGAAAGATGGAATCTCAAAGTAGTTTTGATCTTCATTTCCCTTATGGATAAAGATGCCACACATCTTTAAGTGTTTCTCAGTCTTTTGAGTTTCCTCTATTTAGAATTCTCTGTTTAGATCTGTGCCCTGATTTTAATTGGATTATTATATGTTTTTTCTTAAGTTCTTTAAGTATTTTGAATATGAGACTTCTATTGTATGTGGAGTTGGTAAAAATCATTTCTCATTTTCATAGGATGCCTCTTGTCCTATTGATGGTGTCCTTTGTCTTAAAGAAGTGTTTTGGTTTCTTGACATCCATTTAATAATTGTTCATCTTAATTCCTGCTCTATTAGTGTTCTGTTCAGCAAGTTGTATGCTTTGTGAATGTGTTAAAAATTATCCCACACTTTCTGTTGTAACAGGTTCAGTATGCCTGATTTTATGTTGAGGTATTGTTCTATTTAGACTATAGTTTGGGTAGGATGCAATATATGGCTCTATTTGCATTCTTCCACAGGCTGACATCCAGTTTGAACAGTGCCATTTGTAGCAGATGGTTTCTTTATTCAAGTGTGTATTGCTGGCTTCTTCATAAAAAATCAGGCATCCATAGGAATGTTAATTTATGTCGGTTTTTCAATTCAATTGCATTTACCAATATGTCTGTTTTATGCCATTACCATTCAGTTTTTATTACTATATCTTTGTAGTATAAATTAAAATCATGGAGAGTGATATTCTCAGCAGTTATTTTATTGTTCATGATTAGGTATCTTGAGTTATTTTTTCCCATATGAAGTTGAGAATTGTCTTTTCTAGGTCTGAAAAGAATTTTGTTGGAATTTTGATGGAGATTGCATTGAATCTTTTTAGGATGTCCAGTTTTACTCTTTCTTACTGATCCACAAACATGGGAGATCTTCCCATCTCCCACTATCTCTTTAAATTCCTTTCTTCAAAGACATGATATTTTTATCATGCAAGACTTTCACTAACTTGGCTAGTTACTCCTAATATGTTGTATGTTATTTGAGGATAATGTGAAGGGTATTGTTTTCCTGATTAATTTCTCTGTCCAGTACATTCATTATGAAGGGCTGTTGAACTTTTCAAAGGCCTTTTCTACTTCTAGCCATATGATAATGTGTATTTTTTTCTTTCAGTTTGTTTATATGGAGTGTTACATTGACTGATTTTCATTTGTTGAACTGTCCTTGCATCTCTGATTCTTTTGATGTTTTCTTGGATTTGTGAGTACTTTGTTGAGTAATTTTGCATATATGTTAATAAGGGAAATTGGGCTGTAATTCTTTCTTTGTAGAATGTTTGTGTGGTTTGAGTATCAGGACAACTATAGCCTCATACAAAGAATTTGGTAATCCTATTTCTGTTTCTATTTTGTGGAATTTGAATAATATTGGCTCCTAGTTTTCTTTGAAAGTCTGATTTAATTCTGTCTCACCCTTGGATGTTTTGGTTTGGAAGACTTTTAATGACTTCTATTTCCTTAGGGATTATAGGTCCATGCTAGTTGTTTATCTGATCTTAATTTACCTTTAGTAAGTTGTATCAATTAAGAAAAGACAGACTACAGCAGGTTTCCTGTTATAGAGCTGTGAATGAGACTTTGGGGTGGAGGGGAGTAGATTGCAGGATCGGTAGAAAGGGTGTGGGTGTGCCTTCAACCTACTTGTTACTTTTGGGGTAATGGCCCCTGGATTAGTAGGGTGGTACTTGCTGGAGGATGAAGGGGAGATCTATGGGATACACAGGAGATGGGAGAAGGGAGTAGGTAAGGATGTCATTGCTATTCTGCTACATAGTTGGGGATGAGACTGAGGGATTGGCTCCGGGGAAAGAGAAAGGGAGGAGAACATATACAGCACTTTACCTGCTTTCCTAATAGGCATCATCTGTGTCTGAGCACAGGGTGTTTGCTGGAGTTGGGGATAGAGATACAATCAGAAACAAGGCGGCCGGGTATTGGTGGTGCAAGCCTTTAATCCCAGGACTCGGGAGGCAGAGGCAGGTGGATCTCTATGAGTTCGAGGCCAGCCTGGTCTCCAGAGTGAGTGCAAGGATAGGCTCCAAAGCTACACAGAGAAACCCTGTCTCAAAAAACCAAAGAAAAAAAAAAAGTAAAGAAAAGAAACAGGAGAATAGCCACACAAGAGAATTAATTGCATACCTGAATGTTCTAGAACAAAAAGAAGCATACTCACCCAGGAAGAGTAGACAACAGGAAATAATCAAATTGAAGGGAGAAATCAATAAAGTAGAAACAAAGAAACCAATACAAAGAATCAATGAAAGAAGGAGTTTGTTCTTTGAAAAAAATCATTCAAATAGACAAACCTTTATCCAAACTAACTAAAAGAGAGAGAGAGAGAGAGAGAGAGAGAGAGAGAGAGAGAGCGAGAGAGAGAACACAAGCTATAAAAATAAACAAAGTAAGAAATGAAAAAGGGGACACAACAACAGACAATGAGGAAATCCAGAGAATCATCAGGTCACACTTTGAAAACCTGTACTCCATGAAATTCAAAAATCTAAAGGAAATGGACAAGTTTCTGGATAGATATCACTTACCAAAATAAAATCAAGAAGGGATAAGCAATTAAAATAGACCTATAACACCTAATGCAATAGAAGCAGCTATCAAAATCTCCCAACCAAAAATAAAAAAATAAAAAGATAAAAAAGCCCAGGGCCAGATGGTTTCAGTACAGAATTCTTCCAGAAATTCAAAGAAGAGCTAATACCAACACTTCTCAAACTGTTCTACACAACAGATGCACAAAGGTCATTGCCAAACTCTTTCTATGAGGCTACAATTACCTTGGTACCAAAACCAAACAAAGACACAAATAAGAATGAACATTGAGGCAAAAATACTCAATAAAATACTGGCAAAAAAAATCCAAAAACACATCAGAAAATTCATCCACCATGATCAAGTAGAATTATCCCAGGGATGCAGGGATTATTCAACATATGAAAATCCATCAATGTAATCCACCATACAAACAAAAAAAGAAAAACCATATGATCATCTCAGTAGATGCTGAAAAAGCCTTTGACAAAATCCAAAACCCCTTCATGATAAAGGTCATGGAGAGATCAGAGATAACATAAGCATACCTGAACATAATAAAAACAATATACAGTAAACCAACAGCCAACATCAAACTAAATGGAGAAAAACTCAATGTGATTCCTCTAAAATCAGCAACAAGAAAAGGCTGTCCACTCTTTCCATAGCTCTTCAATATTGTACTTTAAGTACTAGCTAGAGCAATAAGACAACAAAAGGAGATCCAGGTGATACAGATTGGAAAGGAAGAAGTCAAAATTTCATTATTTGCAAATAATAAGATAGTTTACATATGTGACCTGAAAAATTCTTCCAGGGAACTGCTACATCTGATAAACACCTTCAGCAAAGTGGCGGGATACTTAAAAAAAAAACAATAGCCTTAATATATACATATGATAAACTGGCTGAGAAAGAAATCCCAGAAACATCACCTTTTACAATAGTCACAAAACCTAAAATATCTTGGGGGTAATGCTAACCAAACAAGTGAAAGACCTGTATAATAACTTCGAGTCTTTAAAGAAAGAAATTAAAACAGAAAATGAAAAGAACTCTCATGCTATGGGAAGGTAGGATCAACATAGTAAAAATGGTAATCACCATCAAAATGTAGCACAATTTTTCACACAAATTGAAACTTTGTATAGAAAAAAAAAACAGAATAGCCACAACAATGTACAATAAAGGAACTTCAGGAGGCATCACCACCCCGGACTTCAAGCTCTATTACACAGCGCTAGTCCTGCAAACAGCTTGATATTTGCACAAATAGACAAGTAGACCAATGGAATTGAATTGAAAACCCTGTTATTAAATCATGCACCCATGAACACCTGAGTGTTAACAAAAAAGCTAAACTTATAGAATGGGAAAAAAGAAAGCATATTCAACAAACGATGCTGACATAACTGGATGCAGATATGTAGTAGATTGCAAATAGATCTGTATCTATAGCTATGCATGAAACTTAATTCCACATGGATAAAAGACCTCAACAAAAATCCAGCCACACTGAACCTCTCAGAAGAGAACGTGGGATGTACCCTTGAACAAATTGGTACAGGTGACCAATTCCTGAATATAACACTGGTAACACAGACACTGAGATCAACAATTAATAAACGGGACTTCCTGAAACTAAGAAGCTTTTGTAAGGCAAAGGACACAGTCAGCAGGACAAAATGACAACCCACAGACTGGGAAAAATTATTTACCAACCCCACATCTGACAGAGGACTGATTTCCAAAAACATACAAAGAACTCAAGAAGCTAGTCTCCAAAACACCAAACAATCTAATTAAAAAGTGGGGTACAGAACTAAATAGGGAATTTTCAATGGAGTATTCTAAAATGGCTGAAAGACACATAAGAAAGTACTCAATATCCTTAGCCATCAGGGAAATGCAAATCAAAACAACTCTGAGATACCTTCTTACTCCTGTCATAATGGCATAAGAATCAAAAACACCAATGACAGTTTATGCTGGAGAAGATATGGAGAAAGAGGAACACTCCTCCATTACTCGTGGTAGTGCAAAATTGTGTAGCCACTTTGGAAATCAATACAGTGGTTCCTCAGGAAAAATATAAATCAGTCTACCACAAGATCCAGAATTTCCACACTTAGGCATGTACCCTGAGGATACACATTCATACAACAAGAACATCTGTTCAGCTATGTTCATAGCAGCATTATTTGTAATAGCCAGAACCTGGAAGCAACCTAGATGCCCCTCAATTGAAGAATGGATAGAGAAAATGTGGTACATTTACACAATGGAGGACTACTCAGCAGAAAACAAAAAACAGTGGAACCTTGAAATCCGCAGGCAAATGGACGGAACTAGAAGAAACCATCCTGAGTGAAGTAACCTAGTAACAAAAATACAAACATGGTATGTACTCACTCACATATGGATATTAGACATAGAGCAAAGTATTACCAGCCTACAACCCACACCTCCAGAGAAGCTAGGAAATGAGAACCCTAAGAGATCCATAAATGTTCCCCTTCAGAAGGGGAAAGGGACAAGATATCCTGAGCAAATTGGGAGCATGGGGTGAGGAGAGAGTAAGTTAGGAGAAAGAGAATGGGAAAAGAGGAGGGGGGAGCAAGACATCAGAGATCAGGAAGATTGAATCGGGGGAAGAATAGAGGAGAGTAAGAAAACAAATTGCTTAATAGATGGAGCCATTATAGTTTTAAAGAGAAATCTGGCACTGGGAATTATTCCGAGATTCACAAGTATGACCGCAACTAAGTTTCTAAGCAATAGTGAAGACGCTATTCTAAAATGCCCTTTCCCTATAATGAAATTAATGACTACTTATATGCCATCCTAAAAACTTCATCCAGTAGCTGAATGAAGCAGAAACAGAGAACCACAGCTAAGCAGATTCCTGGAATCCAGTTGCAGAGAGGGAGGAGTGATGAGCAAATGGGCAAAGACCATGCTGGGGAAACCGACAGAAATAGCTGACCTGAAGAACGGGAGCTCATGGACTCCAGACTCACAGTTCAGAAATAACCTCAGGACAGAACCACGCCCCCTGAATTTTGGTGTCAGTTAAGGACCTGGGTGTCTATGGGGCCTTTTGTAGTGGAACAGTGTTTATCCCCAGTGTACATTGGGTGCCCATTGTCCATAGAGGGTTACTCTCTTAGCCTAGACACATGCTGGAGGCCCTAGTTTCTGCCCCAAATGATGTGTCAGACTTGATTATCCCCCATGGAAGGCCTTACTCTTTCTATGGAACAGAAGATGGATTGGATGGGGGTGGGTGGGTGATATGGGGGATTGGAGGGAGAGGGAACTGGAATTTATATATAAAGCAAGATTATTTCTAATTTAATTAAAAAATTAGTAATGAATTACATTATTTATGTTTTCAGACAGACCATTTGTCACTGGACAAACAGTTGGTGTCCTCTTCCCTGGAAAATAACTCTTTTCATACTCCCATTTTTGTTTGGTTGACTGTACTTCTTACAACCAGAGATAAATGTAACCATCAGCCCTCGTCAAGGAAGGACTCTTTGTAGCAGTTGGAGGACACAATGTAATACAGCAACTAATAAGAGGTCCTTTTTCAATCTGAGAT